TATCCGTATTTGCGAATGTATATTTTAGCTTGTAAATGACACATAATGTTCATCTTACATATTTGTTATCTATCAAAATGCATATATTGTGTATGGTTTAATTTATTGTACAACTTTACGCTTTATTAGCTGTTTTTATTATTCAGACTTTAATTTTTGTACTTATAACGGTGAACTTGTTTAACTATTTTTTTCGGAAATGCTTAGTTTTCAGGAATTTCCCAGTCCTGGTACTCATCCTTTGTGTCGTCATATTGTCCGCCATTTTGAAATGTGTACTTCTAACCTCAGATTCGTATTTAGTGACCAAAAAAAGAATGATAGTTCCAAATTATATTGAAATTCAATATTTTTTCAAATTTTAACACATGTATTTAAAAAATGCATAAATACTAATTTCAAAGTCGAGAGGCAACCTGAAGATATTAATCGATTTTGATGAAATTTTATCAAATTTTACCAAATCATATTGAGGCCCATAGCTAACTTTTGGGGGGCATTGCTAATTGATTTTCAGAAATTTTTTTGACTCACCCTATTATATAAATATATATATCTTACTATAGTGTATTAGAAAACATTATAGTGTATTTTCCATTATCTTGAGGCTATTTCATTTTGAAAATGAGCGATGGCATCCTGTATAGTTGCAAAGATTTTCAATGATATCGCCCCGTATACATATAAGTCACATTTCTTGATTGTTTCGAATATAGGACTAGGACAATTGACAAAGTAAAACTTAATATTCACCTGAGTAAATTCCTCTACGATTACATGCAGGACTTGAACGCTACTGGGATCGATGTAACTTAACGCGCTCATATCCATGATTATACACTGCAATTCACATCTCTTTCTGGAGTTTTTCTCATCCAAAAAGCGACCCTCTTCGGCCAATTTTTTTCTGTACTTAATAATTTTTTGTGGACACGCTCCCACAAGTTTGTATACAATGGACTTGAAAAAGCTATTATTGGCGAAATTCAAAGTCCCACAATAGTGAAATATTTTTATTCCTTGTATCTCTACCGCCTAAAAACAAAAATCAATATAAAACCTGATTAATAGCTCTGTTTTCTGATTTATTCGATATGCCTTACCGCTTTGTATCTACCCATGTCTAAATACAGATCTGTATGCGGTATATGACCCAATAAGCATGTATAAGGTCGAATAACTTGCAATAGAATCATGACCAGTGACACGAGCAATCCAGCGAGCAATCCAATGTCGATATTTGTCAATATTACCATGAAAAACGTTATAATCCAAATTACAGCGTCGATTTTGCTTAGTTTCCAAAATTTAATGAGTTGATTGATTTGTTGAAACATTCCTTTTAACGCTACCTGCATAAAAAGTCTTTAAAAATTATACGCTTTTTTAATGACAATGCGAGATTTTCTTTATAATACAATTCTACACGTACAACTATTATGGAAGCCAAGACACATCTTGGTAGAAGCTCAAAAAATGGCCCGATCCACAAAAGTATAATAAGCAATAATAAGCAAGATACAATACTCGCTATCTGCGTACGTCCCCCGACGGTTTGCTGAATAAGAGATCTACTCAAGGAAGCCGATATTGGCATGCAGGAGAAGAAAGAACCCATTACGTTACTAAAACCCTAAAATTATAATAATTTGTCGGAATTATTAATGAAAGGTTAATAATTGTTAAAATATTAATGTCTGACCATTGCAAGAAGTTCTTGATTCGAATCTATTTCGTAATTAAGTTTTTGTGCGAATATTAACGCCATTGATACAGTGATAGTATATGAAACCATGGTTATCGCAATACTATCAACCAACACTAAGGGTAATAATTCGAAACTTGGCACTTCTGGCTTGGGCAATCTATTTAAAAAAACGTAAGAATTAATATTTTAATAATATCTAAATTTTAAGTAGATACTAGAAGTGTGGTAAATAATAAAATGTTGAGATAAAATTGTATACATATACCCCGTAGGAATATGCCCAACGGTTTCAATATCATAAATTTTTGGTAAATCACAATATCGAGAGACTAATGTTCCACCAACCACTGCAATAAGTTCAATGGGTATTGGTATGCTGCATTTTTTGCTCATTCTTGGCTAATGGAATATAAATCATATATTTAGCTTTTACGAATATCCAATTGAAGTATTAAATTAATATGCTATTTACCTTTAGATATTCATTATTGACAACAAGAATAATAATTGATACAGTCGATACAGTTACAGCAGCTATATTGGTATTCTTTATTTCTTTAAATACATCTATAATAGTCTGAAAAGGAAAAAAAATAAAATCTGTTTTTCTGTTATACTAATCTGAAAACAAGTACAGTTGCGAGCAAAAAAATATACATCATTTTGTCCATATAATTGTTGTGCATATTGTTCAACGACATAATCAGGAGACGCGGTAGCGGCTCCCGTCAAGTATATATTTTTATAGTACATAATAATATAATACCATGTCTCATGAAAGAGACGCTACAGCGTATCCTTTACAGGAGTAAACTCGCTTATATAATTAAAAATTATTGTTTTGTCTAAACAAATTGACGTTATTAAAAAATGCATATATTGGGGAAGAGAGAATATAGATTTTTACAATTAAAATAAGATAATAATCATGTCCATAAGTGTACTTGATGCTTAGATATGAATATGTGCACGTATTTTTTAGCCCTAATTGTCATTTATTCATTCAGATACGTCGTCGCCGTCGCCGTTGCCGTCGTCGCAAAATTTTATCCCCTTTTATTACACCTTTTTTCAGCACTTCTACACTTTTTCTGAATCTTTTCTACATCCCTTCTGCACTTTTTTACACTTATTTTCTGCACTTTTTCTGCACTATTTCTACACTTTTTCTACATCTTTTCTGCACTTTTTCGACACCTTTTCTACACTTGTTCTACATCTTTTCTGAACTTTTACTGCATCTCTTCTGCACTTTTTCCGCATCTCTCTCGCATCCTTCTGGCATCTCTTCCACATCTTTCATGTACCTTTTCTGCACTTTTTCTACAACAGCACCACATCTCTCTCACACCTCTCCCGTATTAATTTCGCATTTCTTTTGCACTTCTCCGCATCTGAATATTACCGTTTCCGCAACTTTTTTACATCTTTTCCGCATCTTTTCTGAACTTTTACTGCATCTCTCTCGCATCCTTCTGGCATCTCTTCATCTTTCATGTACCTTTTCTGCATTTTTTCTGTAACAGTACCACATTTCTCTCACACCTCTCCCGTATTAATTTCGCATTTCTTTTGCACTTCTCCGCATCTGAATATTACCGTTTCCGCAACTCTTTTACATTTTTTCCGCATCTTTTCTGAACTTTTACTGCATCTCTCTCGCATCCTTCCGGCATCTCTTCCACATCTTTCATGTACCTTTTCTGCACTTTTTCTACAACAGTACCACATCTCTCTCACACCTCTCCCGTATTAATTTCGCATTTCTTCTGCACCTCTCCGCATCTGAGTCTTACCGTTTCCGCAACTCCTTTGCACCTTTTTCGCATCTTTTCTGAACTTTTACTGCACCTCTTCTACACTTTTTCCGCATCTCTCTCGCATCTTTCTGGCATCTCTTTCACATCTTTCATGTACCTTTTCTGCACTTTTTCTACAATAGTACCACATCTCTCTGATACCTCTCCCGTATTAATTTCGCATTTCTTCTGCACCTCTCCGCTTCTGAATCTTATCGTTTCCGCAACTCTTTTGCACCTTTTCCGTATCTTTTCCGTACCACTTCTACATTTCCTTTACATCTCTTCCGCATTTGTTCTGCACTTTTTCGCATCGTTTCTGCATATCTTTCCCAATTCTTGTACATTTCATCTGTCTGTATACATTATTTTATTTATTTACATATTTACTTATATATCTACATTATCTATTCACCTATCGATATTATCTATCCATCTTCCAATGTTTCACCTATTCACCTAATTACGTTTTTATTTGGCTATTTATGATATTTATCACCTGTCTACGTTCGAATGAGAGCATGCATGAGTAAATTGATAAAGACTGATTAATATGAAGAGAGAACGAAATTATAAGCTGAATGCTGATAGTTTTTAATTAAACTAGAAAATGATAATGAAATAACGATTTAGTTCAAACAATATTCATTCATTTATAATTTAATGTTTAACAAAAGGGGATTGTACGAAACCGAAATTATATACTGGTATTTGTTAACTAAGCTAGAAAATGATAATTAACCGGAAGACATTAAAAGTGTATAAAAAGGCATTTTGTAATATCTTTACATAATCAAACAATTTTGTAAATATATGAAAATGATAACGAAAATAATACTTAGCAAAAATTCATGAAATCCATCGGAAAGACATTAAAAATGTAAAAAAAAAGGCGTCAAGTATATTTTGCAGAAAAAAGATACCAAAAATAATGCCGTAAAAAAAGAAGTAAAATCAAAATAATATTTCAAGTATCTCTATTTGAAAAGTCGCGTAGAACACAGTTCTCTGAACGGCATCTTGAAGGCTTTCTTATGATGTAGACGTCTTTTTGATATCCTAGACAGTGTTGTATGGAATAATTTCTCACAATTATAATATACATACTACACAAAGTACAGATGACATTTGAAGTGTATTCAGTATAACAACACATTAATGAGAGAACGAAATGCAATAGATAGCATAATGAGAGGCGCGGAAACTGAAAAGGGATTTTTACATCGATAACAAGTAGAAAATTGTAGAAATAAAAAATTGGAAATGAGCAAGATCTCCAGCAGCAGCATACTTGACGCGCCCGTCTTGTTTAATCGTAATTTAAAATAAAAATTGCTAAGACAGTCGTTCGCATCCTGACTTATCAATAGTATGTAGATATCAATGACAATTAAAATTAATTACGATTTAATAAAATTTTAAATATTCTAATAAAATTAATGTTATAGTATAATTCATTCTAATTCATTCTAGTTAGGAAAGGATATTAGTACATAGATAATGTAATTTCGAAATATATTACAAGGAATACATATGAATCCCAATTTCACGTATAACTAGCTTTTAAATCTATTTGATAATAAAGTCCCTAATCCGCAAATAAGTCGTGCATTGTTTCTAAAAAGTTTTATTAAACGTGCTTATTGTTTATGGACCAAATTCCTTACCACGAGTCTCACTCGTGGTTGTAGGCCAAAGGGTTAAGTAAGAAATGTAATATTTAGATTTCTATTTTCATGAGAATCAAGTATAATTAAAGACAATATTATGTCGAGCAATAACTGCTAATATTACTGTAATAAATTAAAAATATTATAAAAAAATTCAAGGGTTAAGAATTTAGTATTAAGTATTAAAAATTTTTCTTTATCTCATAGAAAAATATTTGTACGTGCACTTGTTAAATATGAAATATATCAAAATACTATAATAACAATTTTAATATATATAAAATTTCTTTAATTTGCGAAAAATAGTTTATAATTATAATAAAATATTTATTGAATTATTTGCATGAATCGAATTATGAACAAGACGGGCGCGTTAAGTATGCTGCTGCTGGAGATCTTGCTCATTTCCGATTTTTTATTTCTACAATTTTCTACTTGTTATCGATATAAAAATCCCCCCCTTTTCAGTTTCCGCGCCTCTCATTACGCTACTCGTATCTATTGCATTTCGTTTTCTCATTAATGTGTTATACTTAATACACTTCAAATGTCATCTGTACTTTGTATAGTATGTATATTATAATTGTGAGAAATTATTCTATACAACACTGTCTTAAAGGATATTAAAAAGACGTCTACATCATAAGAAAGCCTTCAAGATGCCGTTCAGAGAACTGTGTTCTACGGGACTTTTCAAATAGAGATACGTGAATAGATTTTATACATTTGTACACTATTACATTGAAAATATTTTAAAGCAATTTTCATAATATAAAGTTGCACAATTCGTATCTATGTATAATGAGAAAAGTATTTTTTTTATTTTCGAAGTTGATAATTTTTTATTCTATAATTGACATACTGATTTGGAGACACTGGTAGTGTCTCCGCGCTAAGCTATGCGCAGCAACACTACCGTGCCTCCTTTTTAATAGTATGTCGCACAGATATAATCACTATAATTAAAATTCGCAGTAACCTGACTAAATAATATCTAATAATGTATGTTTACATTAGATATAATAGCTTTCTTATTTAAATGTTTATATAAGCAAAAGAAGTAAATTAATAAAATTTTTTTTTAAATCGTTTTTTTTCAAATGTTTTTATAATAATTTCTTTCATTTTATCTTTCATAATTAAATCTTTTTAGTATACATAGATTGTTTTTAACATAAAAAAAAATACGGTATCTTTACTAGAAAATCAAATTTATAATGAAAGATTCAAATCCCACATTTTTCTTGTTACTATTGTACATTTACTGTATAAATTCATGGTATAAAGCTAATATTGCATGTGTCGTACGATAAAGATTTAGCCTGTTGATTGGTTGCAGGACAAAGAGATTCTCGGATCTTTCTGTCCTATAGGCAATCAACAAAGCTTAAAAAATTTGTCATATAACAGAAATGGAAAAATATAATATTAGTCTTACATACGAGAAATATAATTTATGTTTACTTACAAAAATCAATTTGAAGTAACCTTTTTGCTTTGGCAATTTTAAACCAAGAAGATCTTTGATTTGAGATATTAAAACATAAACAGCGGCTGCTGTTGTAAAACTGTTTACTAAAGTTTCACTCAACAAAGTCGTTACAATGCCTAATCGGAATGTATACATTATTATCTATAATGATAAGAAAATCTATTTATTTTCCCTGTCTTATCAATTTTGAAAGAAATATGCTTTCAAAGATGCAAAAGGCATTTACCTGAAATATTCCGACCATTAATGTCACAGCTGTTGCTACCTGCATAGGTGTATATCCATATGCGATATCTTGGAGATTTTGTAAAACAGCATCCGTAGCATTTGCAAATGTGTGTCCGACATATGGATTTGAGTAAAATGTGACTACTTTACCAGTCATTAGGCAAACCACAGCAAAAGTTCCTGATGAGTGCCAAGAATGTTTGATTGTTCAAGGTAGTTGAATAAGTTCATATTAAGATGTATTATTTCTAACTGTTCTGTAACGGAAGTTAATCAAATAAATGTATTAACCAGAAGGGTTGCAAAATGTATATATTTTGGCAACTTGGTTTTAACTCGATGTTATCTCTAACACAACTTAAATTTCGTATACCAGGTATGTAAATATGAAACCGGAATTTACCAATAGATGGCCATAGCTGTCAATGTAGTTGCCATCAGACGCGTCATTGACGCTATTTCCTTATTCTGACACCTGACAAAGATTTTCAACTCACAACAATACAAGTTTCATACAACAGTATAGTTTGTAATAGCGTTGAACATGTCGAATTTTGTGCCTGGAAACTATTTGCGGACAGCATTGATTTTCTGTTACCATTTGAAGAAAACTGCTGCAGAATCGCATCGGGTGCTTGTCGAAGCTTACGGTGAGCATGCTCTTGGTAAATCACAATGCTTTGAGTGGTTTAAAAAATTCAAAAGTAGCGATTTTGACGTGAGAAACGAAGAACGTGGAAAACCACCGAAAAAGTTTGAAGACAGCGAATTGCAAGCATTGTTGGATGAGGATGACGCTCAAACTCAACAACTCGCGGATCAATTGAATGTGACACGAGAAGCCGTCTCCATACGTTTGAAATCCATGGGAAAGATCCAGAAGATGGGAAAATGGGTTCCACATGA